TTGGGTTCAAGCTTTACACCTACAGTCCACTATACTTCCACCACACATGGATATGACCATTATCTAGACTCTTCAAATCCAAATGGTAAGCACCATCTGCCCTAGTAGGTCGCCAAATTGACGTGTGTCCTCGTGCAGTAGACCACCTTGGTGAACCAACTCCTCGAGTGTATCGAGACGCAGCGCGCCCCAGACAAGGTGTCTTAAAGCAGGACAATGGCAGAAGACTGTGACTCATTCCAGCGACGTCACGACAAACAGTCGTTCAGCCTGCCCGGAGCTGCAAGTTCAGGTAGTGTGCACCTTCATTTGCGCCCTTGGGGAAACATCTTCTCCTGCCTAAATGCACAAAAAAACATTTATTCCTAACTCGACTCACGAGTCAGTGTACATTCGAGGTTGGGTTCATACTTCGATAAACACTCAGGACATTCCAGACGAAGCATCCATATGAGGCTAGGCCCACAAGGAGATCCTCCTGTAAGTCACCGGAGTTGGTAGCCACATGACGGGCAGAGGAAAGCACATAAGTAGTCCAGCTTAAGTTTCACTGGCTGTCCCCGCCAAACTTCACGACAAGCAACATAGAATGAACCTCGTGCACAACGACTAAGGCACAGACGAACATGACATGCCGAAAAGCAACATGGACCAGCAGGTTAGCACCGAGGGCAGTTGGAGGCTTCGTTGCCCCACTAGGTGCAAATCCAGGAAAAAGTACAAAGGCTCGTGGCAAAGTAGCTGCGCGGATTCTAGCGCATTGATACTACCGACGATGCCCTTCGTAGAGACGTTGTCAACATAAGCAGGTCACCGTTCACAGATGAGATCGAGTAGACGGAGCCACCACGGAAGTTCAGCCCGCCATATTTCACCTTGTTCAAAAGAGATGAAGATCTGGACAGACACTTAATGCATTACCGAAGCACCATGACCCTCTACGCCAACAATGATGCTCTCATGTGTAAGATCTTTGCCATGATGATCCAAGGTGAGGCGAAGACTGGTTTCACACCCTGCCGCATCACTCAATTCGGAACTTCAACGAACTTTCCTTGGTTTTCACTAAGGAATACTCGTCCTACCACTCGATCAAAAAGAAGTCTGACCACCTCTTCAATATGAAGAAGGACTCCAATAAGTCACTCTGTACACATATCAAGAGATTTAAGGCGGAGAAGGTGAAGATCGTTGGATGTGATGACAGCATTGCATGCTCAGCTTTTCAAAAAGGGCTCCTAGCAAATCACCCATTTTCCGGAGAATTGAGCATGGGCAAGAACTTAACCCTAGAAAACTCTTATGCTTTGGCAGAAAAACACTCTCTTTCGGATGAGGCTAAATGTTCTTAGAAGCCACCTGAACAGCAGCGCAAAAACGCAGAGCCAACACAGAAGAAGGTGGGCAATAAACCGCTCAATGACAAAAATTAGCCAAGAAGCAAATGCAGGGATCGATCCCCGATAAAAGGAGGCATGACACCCAAGATGTACACCAAGTTCTTAAGGAGTCGAAGTAGAAGTTTTTCGCCCTAGCAGTAGCAGCTGATATGCAGAAAGACATTCTACCTCTACCAAATAGCAACCATAGTAGATGGATCAAGAAGATGGTGTCAAGGTGAACAATGCCCTGGCAGATGAATCAGGATGGAAACCCGAAGAAGACACCGAGCACATCTCCCTTAACCTTAAGCAGCGGTCAGACCATTCAAACCGCATATCCAAAATTAGTTCTAAGCAATTCTAGATATAAAGTCCCTCATCACTCTGAAGGAGATCCAAGGTCTGACCTGATGAGCAACTGCTCTCAACCAATTCCTCTCTCGACCTACCGATTGATACAAGTTTTTTTCAAGGCAATCAAGACGCATAACGAGACAAATGGAACGACGAAATGCGAGAGAGCATTACAAGACTTGAAGAAGTACCTGGCGTCACCTTCACTACTATCCAAGCCGGTCTACAGTGGAGAACTTGTACATCTATCTGGCAGTATCAGAAGTAACAGTGAGCTATACCTTTACACTAGAAGAGCTAAGGGCCCAACTGCCTATATTCTATTCATCCAAAGCTCTTCTCGATGTGGAAACCAGATATCTGAAGATTGAAAAGCTAATTTTGGCACTAGTTGTTACAGCTCGGAAGCTCAGACCTTACTTTTAAGGGTATTTGGTCATCGCCATGACTTAGTACCCACTACGATCAGTTTTGCATAGTCCAGACGTTTCTCAACGAATGATGAGATGGGCGTTGGAACATGGCCAATACGGCTTAGTATACCAACCTCGCATTGTAATGCTTTGTAGTAGAATTCACCCTAAGCCTGAAAGATGTAGAAACTTAGCCCAAACGTGCCCTAGAGGCAGCCGAGCATGCCGTAGCCGTACCAGCCCCGCCTGTAGGAGATTTTTTGCATTTTCACATCGACAGATCATCCAACTGCCAGGGATCTGGAGTATTTCTAGTTCTTACTACCCTGGACAGTTTGATGCTCGAGCAGGCGATCATTCTAAGCTTCAAGGCATCAAACAACAAAGCAGAGTATGAAGCCCTACTGATTCCTAGCTGACGAGCAGGTATTCGATTGGCGAAAGAGATCCAAGGTCTGACCTGACGAGCAGGTCTTCGATTGGTAAAAGACATAGCGATGAAGAAGCTCGTAATTTATTTCGATTCCTAGCTGATCACCAACCAAACCTCAGGGGAGTACGTAGCAAAACATCTAAGAATGGCCCGATATCTCGAGAATGTACGAGAACAGTTAGAGACGTTCTAGGCGTACACATCACTCAAGTTCCAAAAGCAGAGAATGTATACGCAGACACACTAACAGGGCTAGGTTCTACCTTAGACCATTAGCTCAAACACTTCATCCCAGTTGAGTACTTAGAGAAGCCAAGCATAGATGAGGAGCCAATAGTTGAGGTAGTGTGAATCAACACAAGTTTGAGTTGGCAGGATCCTATCATCAACTACTTAGTCAACAGAACGTTCCCTGCAGGCAGACTGGAGGAAGTTCTAGATTAAGGCAGCACGCTACTACATATGGAATGGCATGCTTATTCGCAAATCCTTCTCATGACCACATCTCTGCTGCCTATCGCTTCCCGACGACCTGAAGATTTTTAGCTCAATCTACGAAGGTGTCTGTGGAAACCACGCTGGAAACCATTCTATAGCGTATAAAGCTCTTAACGCTAGCTATTACTAGCTAACCATGCATCAAGACGCCAATAAGTATGTGCAAATGTGCGACAGCTGCCAGCACTTCAAGCCCATGCCCGCACTACCTGACAGCGAACTCCACCCATAAATAAGCCATTATCTATTCATGCAGTGGGCAATTAACCTGGAATGACCAATGCCTCCTGTCACTGGGGTTAAAGGCATGACGATCGTAGCAACCGACTACTTCACAAAATGGGTCGAAGCCGAACCCATGACTACAACTACCCAGATGGACATAGAGTAATTAAATCAACATAACCCCAACCCAATATTTAACAAAAACTCACTCTCCTAAGAGATTTTTCACTATTGCCCTCTTTTTTTCTCTCAAAGCTTATTCAACTCTGAATGCTTACCACATGCATAAGTACTGCATTTGGTTATAGGCAGCCCATTAAACTGAAGCCAACAAGTAAAGATCAAATTGGTCTTTAGTTCACATGCCATATTTAAACGCTTCACTGTAGCGTGCAACTGTTTTCTTCATTTGCTATTTAATGCATAAAAGATAAGCATGCACGTCACTCAGTACTTGTTGGTATTTCTCTTCATTTGAAAGTGAGAGGTTTTATGTTCGAATCTCATGGATGGCGAATTCAATACCAAATTGGGTTGTTCGTTGTGTGGTTTAGCCGAACTCTCACTCTTCCTTTGCACAATGGCATACAAACGAAAAAATCTAACCTCCTTCCAACGTTCCTTGTGTTTATACCATACTTAGGGCCTCCGTATTTAGATCTCATATAATAAAGGAAGAGGCAAATATGTAATAAGTGAGGAGCCTTATTCTATAAAAGGACCCCTCACTCTCCTCATTAGCGGGGGGCCATTTCTTAGGCCATACCCTCACCCTCTTAGAGCTCTCATCCTCACAGAGAAACTCTCTCTCTCCCTCTTCAACATCTCAGAGAAAGAAATACAATAATTAGTGTAGACGTAGCCCAAACATTGGGGTAAACCACGATACATCTTGTGTTATTTACTTTCTTGCAGATTCACGGTCAGATTTACGTTGTTCCAAGGCCTCCGATTTTGTGCATCAACATTTGGCGCCGTCTGTGGGAATCGACACAGAAAACTATGTTGGTTCTCTTTCATTTTTTTTCATCTCACCACCGTGAAACTGCAGAAACCGAAGAACCCATAAAACCTCACTCTTTGGGCTTGTCCAGAAAACCTTCGCAGACTCTATGCAGTTTTAAGAAACTATCCAAAAACCCATTTTTCATCTCTCTTTCAACAACACAGCTACCACCGCGTCTTTTCATGTCTCTAACTATAGATCTCACCCTCTCCCTCTCTCTAAAACTTTCTCTCTCTAAAATCCGAACCAAACATCGTCTTCAACCTTTGGACTTGGAAGAGAGAGGGAAGACCCTGTAAATTCAGCCAAAATATCTCCAAACCCACATCTCTTTTTCTTTCCATTATTTTTCACAACTTGTTAAATGATTAAATCAACAAAACTTTTGGATATTGTCAGAAAAATCTGAGCTATGAACAGTCATCACGACGAGGAAGAGATGCTTACGTCCTTGGAGTACAATTTCGACACTGAGTTGACTCAGTCCACCGCGCTCAGAGGTAGCACCCAGTTCGAAAGACGAGCTTTTAGCGGCCCGCTGGGAATGTCTAACTACGCACCGACTAGACCTACTAAATGCCAATTCTCCGAGAACTCTCCATCCTCCTCTAATCTCTGAAAGCTGAAGGCTTCAACATTTCCAAACCCCCATTGGAGATATTATTCGATCAGGGACCCAATTGGTGATACGTCGTCGTTTGGCTCGGAAAGATGGTTTATCACTCCAATTTCGTCAACGCTGAAGGAATTACTAAAGCTTGTGGATGCCCTCTATTGCCGTTGAAAAGCCACATAAAGGGACCTGCCCCAGTTTCAAAGCAAGATAGAACGGATATTGTTGATGAAGCGATTTCATTCTTTCGCGCTAATGTTTTCTTTAGGAACTTTGATGTTAAGAGCTCGACCGATAAGCTCCTCATTTATTTGACATTTTGTATCAATGTGGCTTTGAAGCGGCTGGAGGGTTGCAGAACTTTGGCTGAAGGAACCAAGGCCATTATTAATTTGGGACTACAAAAAGTTCTTGTTACTGGAGAGCCGAGTTTCCCTTTCCCAGGACTTTTCCCTCTTCCTCAGTCCCAGCAGGAAGCAGACGTGTTGTTGGAAACAAGAAATGTTTGAAGGGGCCTCATCGTCCTCATGTTCCTCACTGTCCTCCTTCTGACCAGCAACAGCAACAACAACAACAACAACAGCCGCATCTTCGCCCAGAGCAAGAGCCAGAGCCGACAGTAGATCAATTTTAGTGATCCTGATTGGAAATCCAAGTTTCAAGGGGATTTCGAGAAGCGGTTCAACATCCCCTACATCACTGATGTTTTCCCTGACTTTGATCCCATTCCTTCCACCTTCTGCTTAAGGATGAGGACTCCAGTAATCGAAGACTTTGCAGGGTGAAAGCTCAAAAGGACGTTTGCTCCCGACTCGAATCCCTCGAACTCGGAATCTCAACCCAGTGACCATGTAACAAAAAAAAAGGAAACAAAAGCAAAAGCAAGTCTGTGCAGGTAAAGATGTCTGTAGGTGGAAAAGAAAAAGAGACTGAGTGAGAGAGGTGCGGTGGAAAAGAAGAAAGCAAAAGGGAGGCTCTCCTCGAGAGCACATGGGGGACAACGCGAAAGAAAAAGAAAAAGGGAGATCTTACTAAAGCCAAAGAAGATGCCCACACTTTCGTCATGCATGTTCCTATTTTCTGAGAAAGCTACGGGAAGACCTAGGAGGAAGATAAGGGTTCCTTACTTTAAAGTGATGTAATTTATTTTTCATATCTTTCGGAGACATTTGTATAAACCCCATCAAAGGGTTAAAAAAAAAAAAAAAAAAAAAGGCAAGCCCAAAATAATAGGCTGGAAGGTGGTGTGGAAGGCGAAGACCCATATGCCCAAAAGAGCCAGACCCTCTATTATCACCAACCAGGTGATCAAAAGTACGCCCAGTACTCCAAAATTATTCGGCAACGTGCCGCTATTATCACCAACCAGGTGATCAAAAGTACGCCCAGTACTCCAAAATTATTCGGCAACGTGCCGCTATTATCATCAACCAGGTGATCAAAAGTACGCCCAGTACTCCAAAATTATTCGGCAGCCTACCACTATTATCACCCACTAGGTGATCAAAAGTACGCCTAGTACTCCAAAATTATTCGGCAGCCTGCCACTATTATCACCCACTAGGTGATCAAAAGTACGCCCAGTACTCCAAAAGTATTCGGCAACCTGCCGCTATTATCACCAACCAGGTGATAAAAAGTACGCCCAGTACTCCAAAATTATTCGGCAGCCTATCGCTATTATCACCCACTAGGTGATCAAAAATACGCCCAGTACTCCAAAATTATTCGGCAACTTGCCGCTATTATCACCAACCAGGTGATCAAAAGTACGCCCAGTACTCCAAAATTATTCATGAGCATCACTCATGTCATTCATACATAAACATTCATGAGCATCACTCATGACAATCATACATAAACATTCATGACCATCATTCATGTCAACATTCATAAGCATCATTCATGAGCATTGCTCGTGACAACATCCATGAGCATCACTCATGTCATTCAACATAAACATTCATGAGTATCGCTCATGTCAATCTAGCTTCAAAAGCTCCATTTACAGAGCTCTAGCTTCAAAAGCTTCATTTACAGAGCTCTAGCTTTAACAGCTTCATTTACAAAGTTTCAACAGCTTCATTTACAGAGCTCTAGCTTCAAAAGCTTCATTTACAGAGCCCTAGCTTCAAAAGCTTCATTTACAGAGCTCTAGCTTCAAAGCTTCATTTGCAAAGCTTCACCTACAAAGCTTAAGTGCAGGATATACAAATACCGAATCCGAACAACCACCAGTTCGGCCCATACATGGATTCAATTTGAAGTCTTCAGCCAACAGAGTCTATTGACCGAAGACTTAGGGGACTACATTATGTACCATATATTGGGCCTCAACTGGGCCTCATGAAAAATACTTGGGGGACTCTAGCCCATTATTCATGTATTGAGGAGCGAGCCCTTATTCTATAAAAGAGACTCCCTTACCATCATTAGAGAGCATCAACTCTAGCCCATTATTCATGTATTGAGGAGCGAGCCCTTATTCTATAAAAGGGACTCCCTCACCATCATTAGAGAGCATCGCCGCCTACTGAGCAACCGCCTCGCCGCGAGCATCAACTCTAGCCCATATTTATGTATTAAGGAGCGAGCCCTTATTCAATAAAAGGGACTCCCTCACCTTCAAACACCAAAAGCCAAGCCAACCAAGGCAACATAAGCCACAAGCAAAGCGGCCTCGCAACATGTGCTACTTCTAGTTGAGCATCATTTCAGATTGGGCACTGCCGCATATCAAGTATCAATTCTAGACGACATCTAGTTACTTCGGCCCACACATGGACTGAATTTCAAGTCTCTAGCCAAAAGACTCTCTTGACTGAAGACTTAGAGGACAATGGTTGCCTCCATATTTAGATCTTGTATAAATACTCGGGGGGCTCAAATGTAATTATGTAATAAAGGAATGGACAAATATGTAATAAGTGAGGAGCCCTTATTCTATAAAAGGACCCCTCACTCTCCTCATTAGCGGGGGGCCATTTCTTAGGTCATACTCTCACCCTCTCAGAGCTCTCATCCTCACAGAGAAGCTCTCTCTCTTATTCTTCAACATCTTAGAGAAATACAATAATTAGTGTGGACGTAGCCCAAACATTGGGGTGAACCATGATACATCTTGTGTTATTTACTTTCTTGCAGATTCACGGCCGGATTTACGTTGTTCCAATGCCTCTGGTTTTGTGTATCAATAACTTGTACCAGTAAAATCATGTGCAAACCACAAAGTCATGACCTACTTCCAACTTTACTTTTGGCAGTCAAATCATGTCTTCTCTTTGAAGACTTTCATGCCTTCATCCATCTTTAGCTTGCATGGTTTCCGCTTCAGATGTAAATTCTTGTTCAAACTCTTAGTAATAAAGAGTTTTTCCAACTTCTCCTACAAAGCAGGCACAAAATCTTCATCCATAACATTATTGACAATGTTATCAGCTATATGGAGTCAAATCGTGCTTACACATCACGACTCCAACACCTCACACCTGTCATCTTTCATTTTTTCTGGCTTTCCATCTTTTCCCTTCAAAGCTCTAGTCAAGCCTTGTTGAGTCAAGACGTCCTTGATTCTCATTTGCCAACGAGTAAAACTGCATTTCCCATTAAACTGCTCAACTGAGAATGGCGTGTTTATTGTCATCATGGTGACACTACTACAAAATGGACTTATTGTGTCACTAGGTGATGTCACTTTAATATAATATAGTGGCAGACAAGACATTTGCAACACTTACTGAACATGACGTCAGATTTACTGTCGCTTGTAAGCGTCATAAACTGTCTATGTCACTTTTAACTGACGTAAACATTTAATGTCGCTTATAACCGACATACATTTTAATAATTTTTAAATAATGGTGTCGCTTTAAAAAAAATAGTGTCACTTTTAAGCAACATAAAGTATTGGTATCACTTCTAGCCGACACTAATTATTGTTTTTAAATATTTTAAAGTCTGTGTCGATTCTGAGTGACATAGATTTTATTTTTTTTAATATTTTGAAACCCGGTGTTGGTTGTAAGCAACAGATTGATGATCTTTATATACTATCCCCCGTGTGTTCTTCTTCCTCTCTTGCATCTTTCTTAAGGATAAGTTTATAAGGTGACATGCAATTAGGCCTGGCAAACGGTTCGTGTTTATCGTTTTCGTGTAACACCTGTTATCTTAACGGGTCGTGTCATGTCTCAACCATTATCTTAACGGGTCCTTAACAGGCGACCCATTTTGACCCATTAAGAAAAATATTTTTTTTCTTAAGTTTGCACATACCACATATTACCACATAAATATTACTGCAAAACATTAAAATACATTTGGCGTTTAAGTACTACATCTATACTCGAAAATAAGAGTCTAATAAACAAACACCCATACACTACTACTCTATTACAAAATGTTAAATGTGCAAGGATATGCAAAATGAAAGAGTTTTTGTTTTCAAGGTTGTGAAACCTTTCTCAAAAGTTTAAACCTTGCCAATGGAACTCAAAGCTTGCATGTTATTCCTTTTACAAATCCTCAATTTTCATCGATCATCATGACATAAGATTTTGTGGTATCCACTTCTGTAAATATTTGAAATTGACGATCAAATTAGTTCATTGTATTCATATAGGATCAAGGAGTGTAGCTGTAAAAAAATCATCAAAATTGGAGTTAAAATAACTATTAAATCGTGATTTCGATAAAGGAGTGGATACCACAAAATCTTATATTATACTTAATGAAAGTATAAATAAACTCTAAGTGTTAGTGAATTTATCATTTTGATAGGATACGCATTCTACGAAACTAATTTCAACTATCCTACTGTCAAACTTGTTTGTATATGCTTCGAGATCGCATACGCCAAAAATCATAAAAAAAACAAAAATTCAGAGATCAAGTAATGGGACAAAACTTTTCAACGGTTATAAACGAAAAATCGATTTAACGGTTATTTTAACTCCGATTTTGATGATTTTTTTACAGCTACACTCCTTGACCTTATATGAGTACAATGAATAAACTCGATCTTGAATTTAAAATATTTATACTATTAATGAAAGTATAAATAAACTCAAGTGTTAATGAATTTATCGTTTTGATGGGATATGGATTCTACGAAACTAATTTCAACGATCCAACCGTTAAACTTGTTTGTATATGTTTCGAGATCGCATACGCAAAAAAAGAAAATTCAGAGATCAAGTAACGGGACAAAATTTTCAATGGTTATAAACGAAAAATCACGATTTAACGGTTATTTTAACTCGGATTTTGATGATTTTTACAGCTACACTCCTTGACCTTATATGAATACAATGACTGAACTCGATCTTCAATTTAAAATATTGACACTTGTTATACTTAATGAAAGTATACCCATTCTATAAAACTAGTTTCAACGATCCAACCCTCAAATATGTTTGTATATACTTTGAGATCGCATACGCCAAAAATTGAAAAAAAACAAACATTCAAAGATCAAGTAACGGGACAAAACTTTTCAACGGTTATAAAACAAAAAATCACAATTTAACGGTTATTTTAACTTCGATTTTGATTATTTTTTATAGTTACACTCCTTGACCCTATATGAATACAATGAATGAATTCGATCTTCAATTTAAAATATTTACACTAGTAATCTTATGTTTTACTTAATGAAAGTATAAATAAACTCTAAGTGTTAGTGAATCTATCGTTTTGATGGGATATGCATTATACGAAACTAATTTCAATGATCCAACCATCAAACTTGTTTGTATATGCTTCGAGATCAGATACTTGACAACGA